CGTCAACACGCATTGCTGTTGTTTTTCTTGTGGTCACACGTGGCTCGCCAAGAGGACCTGGGATCCAAGAGGAAGAGAGAGCCAGACTTTTTTCAAAGTTAACCAATTTAGATATTTCTTTCTTAACACCTTAGAAATAAAACTCTGAAGTGCACACATCTGTGTGTAGCAATAAAGTTTCACATCCTGAGTTGTTACCTGTATCTGTGGGGAAGCTCTTTGAACTTAAAGGTAACTGTTACCAGCATGGGAGGCTCGCAGTTGGCTATTTGAGTCACATGAAGTTTTTGGTGCTTTAGGCTGTGATTGTATGAAACCCTGTGAGACACACTTTGACTCATTAATACTCGGAACCGTTCATTGCACACCATTCACACTAATCGCGGCCATCTGGCTTGTACCAACTCCATGTCTCGATGATTTTAGCGTTATTACATATTCGCACCTGTGAAAAATAAAATTGACATCGGACAGAAACACATCGGCGTTGAGCAACCCTGTTTCTCCGTCTGCCATCTGTTTACACTGGCAGCCGGGAGAAGTGAAGGCGGCCCGTCATAGGGCGGCTCTTTGGCTGATTTTACGCATCATAAAGGCTTAACTCCCTCCCTCTTCTGTGCTGTTTCGTGCTGCTCCTCTCAGTATCTAGATCTATGTTGTAGCCTAGAACGAGCGGGCTGTGTGCGCTTCACATTACACGAGCATACGGGGTGCAAAGATTGAATTAGATTTTTTACTATTATTATTATTAGTATTATTATTATCATTATTCCGCCGTGGTCACTTTCTTCGGGGCTTTTTTTCTCCTCTGTTTGGATACCTCGGACTTAGGCATTGGATATGTGCACAAAGGATGATGAAAACCCCTTTCCTCATCGTAGAAGTAAAATAAAATAGGCTTTCGCGCACACTGGATTTACCTCTTGCCGTTCCATATGAAGAAGTCAAAAGTAAGTGGCTGATTTTTTCTTTTCCTTTGGGGATATTGGGGGAGTGTGTGGGGTTGCAAGAAGCTGCGTGGAGGAAATAAGCAATTCAAGTTGAGGTGGATCTAAACGGGATACGATCCGGGTGCAAGAATGCCGTTTTCCATTTGACACTTTTTCTTTCCCTCGCCGGATTCTGAAACAGTTCACTTCAATCAGAGTGAGGTGACTGGCTCAGTGAGTGGACGGGATAAAGCCGAGGAAGGGATCAAACCGCCTCAGTTGGCTTTAACAGAAGTCTTATTAGGCTACTGGGCTGTCATGTTGAGGCAAAGTGGCAAACCTGCTTTCCGCAAACCGCGTTTATTTACCTGGTTTTTCTTTGAAGCATGCAGACAAAACACTCTCCCCGTTTAACTTGTAGACCTGAACGATCCCGGTCAATTTATTTGCGCCAGTCGGTAACTTCTAAGAAGTATTTGCGCTCCGGGTCGCCACCCTTCCCAAGAGTTCTGCTCCTGAATTCACACGTCTGAAACATAATACGTTGTTGAGGCGGGTTTGTTTTTCAGTGCAAATTGATTCTACACCTATTCCGCTTCCCAGGTTAAAAACACAGGGACGCGAAAACCTGAAACTAATACGCGTCTTTTCTCTCCTCCTGGAGTTGGTGCGCAGCGGCGTCCCGGGTTTTTCCCTCAACCCGCTTCTGTTACCCCGGGGGTTGGATGAGTTTGCCCCGGCGACATTCCGGGTTGACAGGCGACAGAAGCAGTGACACCTTCATGTTTGTGGCTGGATTCTAACATGCGCAAGCTTTTTATTTATTTATTTATTTATTTATTTATTTATTTATTTATTTATTTATTATTATTATTATTATTATTATGCAAAGCCATTTTAAGAAAAAATAATAAATATCACTTTTTTCAAGTGCAGGCGAAGAAGATAAATCGCCCTGTTTAATTTAGTTTGTATCTGTTTTCACTTTTAAGATATTAAAAAAAAAAAAACTGCGTAAACTTTCGATCGTCAGCGCCTTGTGACAATCTCAACATTACTGGAGTAATGCCGTTTAAAAGTTCCCACTGGAAGTCGCGCGCACTAAATCTCTTAATCAGTTTATTTATTTTCTTTTCTTTTAAAACAACCCCAACATATTTTAAAGGACGTAGAGCTCGTGTGAGTGCGCACGCAGAAAGGGGAAATAAGGGAAAGTGTTGTGAAGGCATCCCTGCTGCTGGTGTTACGTTCAAACTCTCACTTATGATTTGCGTCGCGGGTCAGGCATTATCTGTGTGAGCGCGAACGGGCATCTTTCATCCGGGATTTATGCGCCCATAAACGGCCGCGGCCCACGACCCGGCTGGAGAAAGAATCTATCAATCTTAATCATAGCTTACACATTTACTAAAAGATGGAACTTATATGTCAAGTTTTTCATGGATGCCGGACTCCTGCTGTTCTCATGTCTGTGGATGGTAATCTAAGTCGTGATATTTATGTGCTTTTGGCCGTGGCACAGGTGTCTGGGACGAGACCAGGTCTAGACCTTCTCACCTTCACAGAACATTTGGCACCAGTAGGGAGCGCTAGTTTCCTGACGCCTGCCGCCACACTGGCATTTTTTTTTTTTTTATGTTTTTCGGTTGTGAACGGTTTGCAAAGACATATCAGGTCTGTGGGCCCCGGGGCCGCCAGCAAAGGTTTTCAGACGGGTGGCCAGATTAAATAAATAAATAAATAAATAAATAAATAAATAAATAATCAATCTCAGGAGTTTTATTATGTTGATGGGGGTGGAGGCATGGTGTGTATGAGAGATGATGAATATGGCACATATAAACGCTACAATTTGAAAATAGCAAAAAATCTTAAAACCATGTTTTAATAAAGTTGCATATAGATTCTCTTGTGGACACACATACATTTCTCCTCATCCACTTTTTTTTCTGAAAAAAAGAAAAAGAAAACCATCCTGTGTCTTAATTTAATATTTTCTTTTTAAAAATGAGTCAAATCACTTTCACTGTTTTGATTTCTGGGGAGAAAATGGAATTACTAACGCATACATGGAACACTGCTGTTTGCTTCTCTAGCGTCTGACATGTTTCCTTCCCTTTCTTAGATTTTTTTTAAAGAGCTGTATTCTTATCAAAACAGACTTGACACATATTCAAACTATAAGTTTCAGGATTTGGAAAGTCTAGGGAAATTTATGTTCCTCTTAGGACACCTGAATGAAATATTAATCACTCAGTTCAGTGCCTTAAGTGATCTTACAGTGGGCACTCTCTACTGTTTCACCCCTCAGCATACTGAGACTTTTTTGTTTTTACGTCAGTCTTCGTTCCCCATCAGTACGTGTTCTACAGCTCCTCACCAACCAGATTGCAGAAAAAAAAATCGTACATCCTCATCGAACACTCAGTCCTGACCTGTAACCGGAGGCGCTCCGCTCTCATGCAGCGGCCGTGAAAACTCAAAACATCCTGTTTGGGTGAATCCAGCCCGTTACTGTCCTCCAGCTAATGTTCTGTCATTAGATCAACTGACATATTTTCAGATGAGGGGTTAGATAACGTCGGCCTGATGCTGAGAAAAATAATATTTCATTGACGGAAACCATAACAGTAATTATCCTTAACTTATCACTGCTTTATGCTTTTAAGGAACTTTTATTTTATTGCATTTTTATTTTTGTTCAGTGTAGTTTTTTTATGTCCGCATTAACACCATGTGGCTTGATTTTATTGAAAGTGGCTCCATGACTCTTTGAATTTGTCTCGTGTGAATTTGTTTTAGAACTGACGTCGTTTTGTTCTTTGTCATTTCTGCCCAATAAAACTTTTGATCTATAGATCACTTTACAGATTATCCATGTTTCTGTCCCATATTTGTTTGACATTAGGGTCAGTATCACTTAACTAAAATATTAACTTTTTCTATAAACATTTTTATTACCAAAAATCTTAACAGAAATTATTAAATTCACTTGTATTAGTCTTAATTGAGTCACAATGTCTAAGTTGTTGTTGTTGATAAGTAAGTATTTTCTCCATCAGGAAAAAAAAAACACATTGTGGCATAAAACAAAGAGTCTTTCTGTTTGAATCCTTTCAAAGAACACCGTCACCATATGAAATCAGTCAATTCTCGGTGTATGGATACTAGAAAACATTACCTAACAGACAATAGGGATGGGTTAAAAACTTACACTTATATTCAGATTCATTAAACATGATTTTTGTGGACCAAATGTCTGACATGCTCAGGCTATGTCGCTTATATGTGGTAGAAACTGGGTTGGCAGAGTGAGTTTACATACAGAGTTTCTCAAAACTGGGTATTTTTTAGCAGCAGACTAACTGACAGTTATGCACAATAAAAATGTATTTTGATGGTTTTCAATATCAGCCATTAGAATTACTAAAATTCAACTCAAGCATGCTAGCATGCATATGTATTGTTCAATCATGGTTACATTCCAACAACTTTAACTACTTTGTCTCAGTATCAAATTCAATCAAAGCATTTTGGTTTTTAATTTAAAACTGTGGTTCAAACAACTGTTATTGAAATGTGTCTAATAGAGAATCGTAACGATAGTAAATAAAAAAAAACATCTTCATTTAGGTTGTATTCTGACTTGGGATGTTTCCACAAGCAAGTCCTACCTGGGCATTTGCATTCCTTTTTGTGTGTTTTACTGGGTAATTGTGAGATTATTGCAAATTTAAAAAAAAAAAAAAAATCATCAAAAAATAATGAGTTTATGTCAGTGCTACTCCCGTCTGCAGGTGACAGTAGCTCTTACTTTTACTAGACTTCTGACTCAGTCCATGATTGATGTGGCGAGTAAGAAAAAGTTTAATGTCATACGCAAATCTGTATCATTCTGTTCTCCTTGAGAGTGGAGGACCATTATTTTTGCACACTTTGCTATATGGTACCTTTGGTATGGCTTAGAAACGTTGTAAAATCCCTTGCAGATATTGCTAATGTAGTGCCACAAAATCTGTGATTTTGTTTGTAAAGAAATCAGAAAACAATTGTGAAACCCTGGAGGGACTGCCTGGGCTTTAAGAAGCTTCAAAACGGCTTCAGTTTGGCAAGAGACAAAGCAAAGTTCTGGAAATGACTCGATATTTCTCCAACATGTGTCTGATTAGAAAGGGGGGTTCACTTTTTTCCTCCTTATCAGAAAACCAAATTCAGCTGTTTGCGAAGTCATCGGTGGAAAACTAAAGTTACCAGTCTTCCTAAAGCGACGCTGTTTATAAAAGTACGAGCAGCAGACGTGTGAAGCAGCTGACTGCAAGCTCTGCAATAGCAGATATCCTGACTTATGAACGAGCTAATATCTGCTTATTAGACTTCTGGTGTTACACAGCAGTGATTCAAAAGCGCAAATGGCCAGACTGTAAATCATCAAACTCTGCTGCTCACACAATCCGGGGTTCAGTTTACCTCTTCTTTATTGTTGTGGCCCCTGGCCTGCTAAGAAAAAACTCTTAACATCAGGATCTTTTAAGAAAACATAACTCTTCTACTGCGCAGCAGGAAATGTACATGCTTGCTTTGGACGTGCAGATCAAAAGGGCCAAGAAGGGAAGAGATGGAGAAACATGGAGCGCTGCCTCTTTGGATCTATGCAGTCACATGTTTTCAGGCCAGGCACTGCACCAAGTGCAGCGATAATGTGTGCAAGTCGCACCTATTGCTAATTTTATGTGAGCAAATTTGCTATGTCGCTAATCAGATTAGCATAACAGCAGGAAACGGCACAACGGGAGCTAGAGGGTCTCGGTGCCGTGGGTTTAAAAGTCTAGTTCCTTCAACTGGATCCCCATGACTTTGAGCGTGTCCCATCCGAGTCACACTCATTCCTTCCCCATTCCTGGTTAATTATCTCAGTGAACATCAGAGATGATTTATGGTCCTGGAGCCAAGTCTGGAGCCAATAAATGACCCCGGCACACTGGCAATTACTGTTCTCTTGTTGTGAAGCAACAATAAAAGAG